CGTCGCCGCCGCCGCCGCCGGCGGCGGCGTCGTCGTCGTCGTCGTAGTAGTCGTCGTAGCAGTAGCAGTAGCAGTAGCAGTAGCAGTAGCAGTAGCAGTAGCAGTAGCAGTAGCAGTAGTAGTAGTAGTAGTGGTAGTGGTAGTAGTAGCAGTGGTAGTAGTAGTGGTAGTAGTAGTGGTAGTAGTAGTGGTAGTAGTAGTAGTAGGAGTAGGTGTAGGAGTATTTGGAGTCATAGACTTAGGTTGGCAGAGGCTTCTGGAGTTCAGCCGAGATTGAGGATCATGACTGAGCATGACAGCACAGGTCCTGTTCAAGCGGTGGCTTCGGGGTGTCCCCAACACGAACCCTGAAGCTATAGACTCAGAACCTGAGCTCTGTGCCTGGGACATATGGTTCAAGTACTTCACCAGCCAGGCACCGCTCCTCTGAAAACCAGCCCAAGCTGATGGCTCTAAAAAGGCTGACAGGAATCTGTGGAAGTGTACCACAAAAAAGATCACCACCAAGAAAGATGATCGCCACACATCCGCAAACCCTGAGCTTTCGAACACTGACGCTTCCAACCGGAACTTTTCGGCCGTCCTCCGCTCTGCATTACGTGTGCAGCGAAGCAGAACTGCCTGTTGTCCCCACAAGTAAGAAGGCTGGACTGGATTCCCAGGATGAGGCTCGTCATGGGCACAACTTGGCCACATGTTTACCTATGAGTATATGAGTCAGAGTAGCGTGCGAGCATGTTGTACAATTTCGAACCAGGCTTTGTAGCTTGGCTGGGAGCTTCCACGTGACACTTACACATCGGTTTACTACAGCCTAGAAAGCTTGGGATGTCAGGTCTTGAGCCGCAAGTGAGGACCTTGGAGAATATCTTCTCCGGGAGTTCTGACAAACAAACCAGGCTCCAGTTTTGCCTGAACAATGGGACAGTGGGTCCCCGGCATACCAGTTCCCGAGATTTAAGTTTCGGATCTGGCATAGGTAGATGACGCGTCCAAGACCTTGCGGAGGTGTCTACATGTTAGGTCCAAGTTGCTTTACAACCCAATGACAAACAACCCACTTGGGGGCTTCTCAAATCGATCCCTATAAAAATTTAAAAGGGACCCCATCCTCTCCTTGAAATCCCAATATATCCGCACAAGAATACCCCAGAACACTCCTCAAAACTATAGAAACGCCCCTGAATCCTACATAATCCATCCCGTTTTTATCTTTAGACCTTCTCATGTCATCCTTCCTTCAACCAAGAAGCCTAACCTGGGTTCCCCTGCTACCCCACCCTCCCTCCTATACTACTCGCCCTAGGTTCCACCCTGAAAAAGCCATAGCCATCCTGGGTTGCTATATGTTGGGGTCATATGAGCTTTAGTCTAACCTCCTAGTATCCCCCTTAATAGCTCCTATAATACTCTCCCCTATACATTAATGAGTTTAGACTCTAGGTTATATGAGCCATAGTCTAAACTCCTTAAAGGGGAAGATATAGGGGATTATATGGGGAACTACTATAGGGCTTATTAAGGGGGATACTAGGAGTTTAAACAATAGCTCATATGTAGGGCCCGAATGATCCCTGGGCTGGGGAGGTCCCAAAGCTTTCTCGCCTCCGCCTTCTCCAACTTGTAGTTCTTCTTGTACCTCTTGGAGGTCTCTCGAAAAGGGGAATCCTAAACGATATGACCCCAAAATACTGTAGTAGTTTCCATTTTCTTTTCCATTATCCCCATATAACCCCTATAGAACCCTATATAAACCCTAAACCTAGGGCTTAGGGTTTTACAGGATTTGGAGAAACACCCTCTTGCTGCCAGCTTTGAGATGACTAGGAAAATCTCTTCTGGGGCACACAAAGTAGGGCTATAGTCTCCCTTAGGTAGATAGAATATGGGGTATATGGGGATTATATTATAATATTCTATCCACTTAAGGGGGGCTATACCCATAGGACCCTGGATTTACCTGGAGAGCCAGGTAAGGACTTGAAATGGATTGTATTGAGAAACACCTGCATAGCACCAGCGATGTTTTTGCAGCTTCGCCAGCAATCAGGAGGTTACATCCGCAACGGTCATCTTCATGACCTGTACCGCCTCGTCGACCTTCACTGGCCAAATTAGAATCAATAACTAACTTGAAACAAAGGTAATTGTGTCAATGCTAGCCACAATTTGGGGTGAGGTCAGGCGAGGTTACTATGATTTGCCCCCACACACACCTTCCTGGGTTGCTGTTAAGGAGCTTGAATTAAGTTACTATATTGGGGAAACCCCATTATTTACTATGTATACCCATTATGGCAACCCACCTTCAGCTGAAGTTTGAGATCCACGTGACCACCGCCCAACCAGAAGTGGCCAGAAGGAAGCTTAGCGATCGCATCGCTGAGGATGATTGGAAGGTCTTGTTTCAGAGGGGTTACCTGGGGCGGTTTAGGGTTTAGGGTTTAGGGTTTAGGGTTTAGGTGGGCCATTCATCCCTCTGGCACACACAAATTCTTCTACCCTTACACCTAAACCCGCAACCTGAAATCCTCAGCAACGCAAATCCGAGCTCTCTGACATCCAGTTGCGGCATTGTGGCCGCAGCCGGTGATAGCCTGGCATGCGGCACCCTCCAGCAGGCGCATGTTGTACTGCTTCTTGCCCAAGGCCGGCAACCCTCTGGCCTAGGTTCTGAATAAAAATAATGAAGGCTAGAAGAATGATACTACCTGGAGACAAGGATCTTGCTGGCAATCATGTGCACAAAAAAGCATTGGAAACTTGCGTTTTGAACTATGAAAGCGTCACAGCGGGGATGAGTGCATATGAGAGCCTGAGACCGTCTTCAAGGCACCCAGAATGCATTTGGGGTTTCTCAAAACTGTCAGCTTCTGTCGGCAGCTACCCGAGCCTAAACTATGCTACTCGGTCGGTGCATGTCTCTGGATCGGAATTGTGCGAAGCACCCATTTTCCCCACAGCAGCAGCTTGAACAAACAGCCGCTTCAAACGCGGATCCGAACTTTGAGGGGTGCTGCCGAGCGGCGGCCTCCATAGCTTGCACAGCCTTGATCAACTTTTCCTTGTGGAGCTTGGCCACGTACTGGACCTCATGATTTAGGTTAGCATCCCCTGCACCACCAGCTACCAATAAGATGCTTGAGAGCAGGCTCCCTACCATGGTCGTCTGCGTTGCACGGAGGCTGTAGTCCGATCATGGGACTTTTGAACAGGTTTCAAGTTGCGGCTTCGGCACTATTACAAGAGATTCAGCGGTTAACGCTATGACTGAACACTTAATCTCACAGTTGCAACGAAAGACTGCTCATCCACCTTGGAGCACAGAAAAAAAAAAGTCCTGCGCACAGCCAAGGAGCAACCACCAGCACGCATCGAACGCGGCCCTGCTCAGCATCGTCTTCCAGCTTAGTGTTCTCCATGACGACGCTTTTACAGAGTTCATCAACAGAATTGGCGCCTAGTCGATCGCGCCTCCACTCCAATGTCTGCTCATAGTACGGCGGATGGGGATCCACAGCTACAAGCGACGCGCAAAGCCCAAGCTCAGCTGCGGCTGCCTGCATTCGGACTTGCACCTGCTCCGGGCTTTCTGCATCTGCATCTGCTGCAGCCTTCTGTGTTTCCCCAGCCTGGAAACTGACAGGCTGTGGAGTTTTGCTTGTCTGGTTCTCTACCGCAGGAGCAGCAGTCTCTTTCAGGACAATCTGCGGGCTAGCCACCAGTGGAAAGCTAAGCCTCTCCAAGGCTCTGACAGACTCCGCCATCGGCCAATTACAAGCTTATCGAGTTTCGTAGATTCATCTGAGCAATGAAATGAGCGTGCCCTGCATGAACTTTAACAACATCTGTTGGACAAGAAGAGACTGATACAGTCCAACCTTTCGAGCTTATACATCCTGCGTGCTTTACCTTGGCGGAACACTTTGAATGGGCATGTACCATTTTGAGTTGGAAAGCCGTGCTGGCAGGCAATCTCAAGTGATCACTCATGCATGTGAAATTGTTCATGGGCCCACTATGCCCCGAAAGGATATTGGTAGGTTTGACGTTCAAAGGCAGCTGGACCGCCCAATAAAGGAGGAGCATGGGGCCACAACATACTATAGAAGCCCACATGATTCGGGTAGCCTACACCCTAATTTTACAAGGCATCTCGGACCACATTATTTGTAATTATTCGGGCTTCAACATTAGCTGATCCTTTCAAAGGAGCCTGATGTGATATTGGCGGACAGGCACCGGGTTTTGCCCTCTGCAAGAGACTCAACGTATCTCGCAGGTGAAACACTACTTGTGGTGTCCCAGCTTTGGGGGTACCAACGTGCCTTCACTGAAGCTTCAAAGAGGGGTGAGAGTGCGAGTGGATCTAACTCTAACCTTGGCAATTGTTGGAAGTAGTGTTCATACCTCACTATCCTAAAACCCAATAATGAAGGTCAGGCTAGAACTTTGACTTGTGTCCCAATAAGGAAGCAGTTCGACGAAACCAACCTTGGGGGTTCAGGTTCAGAAGGCTTCGTAAACAAGACCTAGAAGCAGGAATTCTACAGTGTAAACAAGTAACAAGTAACAAATATAATGGTATGGGGCGTCGCATGGCAATGGCCATGATAACCGTGGTGCCAACTCAGGATTTGAAAGCAACAGCAACAAGTGAAGCAATGGCAAAAGCAGCAACAAAGGCAGGCCTAGAGATCATGAAGTCGGAGATATAATAACCCCTATAATGGAGAATCAAATGGAAAAGAAAATGGAAAATGAAATGGAAACTGGGTTTATATAGGGGGATTAAAGGGGTTATAATCTAAACTCCTAGTATCCCCCATAATAACCCCTATAATACTCCCCTATATAACCCGACATTAAGGAGTTTCAACTCATATGACAAAGAAGCATCATCATTTTGCAGCTTGTAGGAATGGTGAGAGGAATTGGGATATCTGCATCACCGAAAAAACTGCGTTAATCATGAGGCTCAGACACCACTCTGCTCAAAGGGAGCTACAGGTTGTGACGTTTCTTGCATACAACTTGGTAGCCAGTGAAGCAGATACCCTTCACTTACATAACATGGAACCTGAGAAGGGACCTTCAACAAGCCTGTCCCTTTGCAAGAGGGAGTAGCTTGGAGGAGGGCACAGGTTCCCTAAACACTGTAGAATCAGAGCAAGGTAGGATAAGGACGCCCCAGAACCAACCGTTTTGAAAGGCATCAGTTTGTGACCTCTGCTCAAGGTAAATGCAGAACAACCAGGCCTCGCATAGCAAATAGGAGATAGGCCCGAACACATTGCTCTAAAGAAGTTTCGCAATCAGCTCAGCTAGTGCGTCCATCTACCACTACCGTTCTCCCTTCTAAAACAACTATCACTTCATGGTCGCAGTCTACAGCTGAAAGGCTCGGACTAGCTGACTAGCGTTGAACCTACGCCTGTTCCGAACGGATTGCACACTAGGCTACGAGGGACCTCCGGGCTACGAGCCCACCATAGGGGCCCATGCTATGGACCTTCATTACGGGAGCCTCCAAGGGTACCAGCAACTGAGACGTAGACGTCCCCACCTACAAGACTTGCTCAGGGGACCCTGCGAAGAGATGCCAGCGGCGTAATCGTTGAATAGTCTGCAGGAGAATGCTGGTGCAAGCTTGCAAAAAAATCTACGAGCTGCCAACAACACCAAGTACTCCCAGAAGTTCCCAACTACTGTTTATCATTTATCGAATCCCTCTTTGCAGCCGCAAGGGTGAAACCTTCCTGTGGACAAAGCTACACTGCCAGACAGGCACTCACTCAACACCGCAGTCATCAGCAATGGCTGCAGCAAATAGTAGTTGTTGGGCTAACCTTGCTTATTTCAAGGGTTTTGGAGCTTGGACTTCAGGGCTTAGGGGCCCGCAACTTGTGCGAAGCATCCAGCCATCAAGTTAAATCTCCGCGAGCTGCACTGCGGCAGCTCCGGAGATGGAGAGAAATGAATTCATCTCACGTGGGACTCGCGAAGGTGCCCACAGCGCCTCCCTTTTTCTTGATAGACCAAACTAGTTGGACTTGCAAGTCTCCTGTTAAGAGGTAGAGTTCCCGTCATAAATGATGAGCAGAATCCAGCACGAGCTGTGCTGTCTCTGCCAACCAGACATAATGAGTCCATTCTAAACCTGTAGCACCGGTCGCTGTAGCCGAAGCAACCGAAGCAGTAGAATCAGCAGAAGCTCTAGCAGCACCAGCAGCAGCAGTAGCAGAAGCAGCAATAGGGTAGTAGAGCTGCCATAGTGGTCTTAGGATTTTTGCTGCTGCTGTCGTTGTTGCTGCTCATGTTGTTCATCTTGCTGCTGGAGGAGGAGTTTTGAAATAGCGGCAATAATAGCAAGAGTGGCAGTACTCCTCGTTGTAGTTGTAATCTTGTGCCGAAGTCCGAAGAACTCCAAATCTGCACCACCCCTGTCACCTTCGCGAGTCCAGAATGTCTTCATTACACAGCCAAGCGGGGCCTCTGCCACTAGCTTCGAGGGCTTCCATCTAGGCTTTCTAGAAGTACTGTAGATTTCAAGGTGCGGGTTGCGCAGTGCGGAAGGGTCTAAAGTTTGGATCTAGGGTTGGGTAGTGGGGCAGTGGAAGGCAAAGGATCGACGGCTTGGGAGTGGCAAGCTTGATGGATGTCAGCATGTCCTACAAGGAGGACCTAGCTTGGGGATATGTTCAGCAGATAGCCTCAGAAGGAGTATGAGTATGAATAATGGCGCATAAAACCCCAAAAAACATAATTAGAGGAATCCTCGACTGAACCATGCTGCAAAATTAGCTTCTGAACATTGTCTTCCAAAACAGGCAAGAAGGGACATTGTCAATGCCGTCGAGCTCTGTGGCAGGGGGCCGGTGGGCATCGAAAAAGTCCACCTGGGAGACTGGGCTTTGGGGCTGAGAGCTCCAGGGCTTGTAAGCTGCGGAAGTTTGGGGTGGAGGCTTCATCAAGTTGAGGCCTAGCATCATTACTTTTGTTTCAACATCATCCCTGTTATGTCTATTATTGCTATTAGTATCATTATGATTACAACCGTTATCAACATCGTCACTATTATTACTGAGGGCCGCAGGGGGCTTCAGGCCTCCAGGGTTGTGAGCTAAAAGGTTCTAGGCCAACTTCACAGCTTGAGGGTTCTGGGGAGCTTGCTGAACGGACTTGGGGGCGTAGTAGATTAAGGGGGTATCCAAGAATTAGGGCACATGAGGCCACTAACCCCTTCAAGCGCTAACAATGCTGTTTTGGGTGCCTAAACAGGGTCTCAAGGTCAAATGGGCGGTGAACGGAAGATCAACAAAAGTCTCATTCCAACTGATTTTGGCGCTTGAACAGAATACCGTTTCTGTGGTGGTCCAGGATTAATCCAAGATTGGTACTCATCGTCGGCTAGGCCTCTGATTCTTAGGGTGGTTTAGGCTCCGGGTCTTAAGTTAAGACTCTCCGATCGGCTTACAAGTTGAAGCTTTGATTAGGGCTCAGGGTTCAGGTTTGGGTTTCGAGGGTTTCCGCTCAGACCTCAAAGCGCTGAGAGCATCAAAGCCCTAGACTTCCATGACAATAAACCCCAGATGCGCACAGTGTTATATAACCCCATTATAGTAGTTTCCATTTTCTTTTCCATTATCCCCATATAGCCCCAACATATACCCTATAACTATAATCCCTTTATAACCCCTATAATCCCTGTAGTCTCCATTTTCTTTTCCATTATCCCTATATAACCCCAATATAACCCCAATATATACCCTATAAACTACCCTATAATCCCAGTTTCCATTTCATTTTCCATTTTCTTTTCCATTTGATTCTCCATTATAGGGGTTATTATTTCTCCGACTTCATGAACTTTAGGCCTGCCTTTGTTGCTGCTTTTGCCATTGCTTCACTTGTTGCTGTTGCTTTCAAATCCTGAATTGGCACCACGGTTATCATGGACCCTAAACCCTAAACCCTAAACCCTAAACCCTAAAATTCCTATAACTTGGTTGCGGGCAAAGCGAGGATCGTCAGGGCAATTTTGCCTGATGGCTTTTGCAGCAACATTCTTTGGATCCTGATCTGGGGGCTTTTGGGGTTTAGGGTTTAGGGTTTAGGGTTTAGGGTTTAGGGTGTGTCCATCGTGTTCGCTCGCTCGGGTGTAGATCTCTCCGAGCCGCTCGCTCCACCCAGACTCAACTCTTTTAGGGTTTAGGGTTTTCTACCCCCCAAACCCCCCTATCAAGGGGGGCTTTCCCGCGTTTGGGTAGGGCCCTCTTTCGGGCCCCGGCCCCGATCGGCATCTTCTGTGCTGTAGGGCCCCCCGCTGTGGTGGGGAGCGCTCTGGTGGGGACACGTTGGTGGGGACGCTCTGGTGGGGAGGCACGCTGTGGTGGGGAGGGCAAAATCCAAGAAATGGTGGGGGCCACCAAATCTGTATTAAGTTTAATTACAAACGGGACCATTTTGCGGCCGGGCTAGGGTCCCCCCAAATTTAAGGGTAAAAACGTCTAGGGAAGACACGCTGGTGGGGACGCTCTGGTGGGGAGGCACGCTGTGTTGGGGAGGCCCAAATTCAAGAAATGGTGGGGGCCACCAAAATCGACGTTTTCTGTATTAAGTTTAATTACAAACGGGACCATTTTGCGGATCCCCCCCAATTTAGGGGTAAAAACGCTCTGGTGGGGACACGTTGGTGGGGACGCTCTGGTGGGGAGGCACGCTGTCATGGGGAGACCCCACTGTGGTGGGGAGACCCCACTGTGGTGGGGAGACCCTGCTGTGGTGGGGAGACCCTTGTGGGGAAAGGGCAGATGGGCCAGAAATGGTCCGTTTCCTTTTAAAAACGGCCTTCTTGGTCTACAGCACATCGGGCCCCCAAAAAGGCAGATGGGCCAGAAACCGCCCGTTTCCTTTTAAAAACCGGCCTTTTCTTGGTCTACAGCACAATAGCAGAAATTCGGTGCAAATTTTACCATTTCGGG